TCCTTCCCATGGCTGGTTCTGCCGACTTCAAGCCACTTAGGAAGCTTCCATCTTTCACAGTCCCATGCAGGTTATCAATTGGTATTCTTCCGGTTGGCCCAGCGAAGCCCCGCCCCTCTGACTGACACAGCCACTGTGCACCAATCACACCGACGCAGGCCTGGTGCAGCCCCGCCCACAGCCCCGCCCACATTGCCCCAGTCCTTCCAACTCTCCCTCCACTGACAGCCAAGCTCCCTTTATCTCCAACACTGGACAGGACTAATGAATCAATTCAGGTTCTCCTCCATTATATCTGAGGCACATTGCAAATGACGCCTTTAAATGTTCCTCTAGTCTGTAGTCAGTCTGTAGAGATTTTTACCTCATTTGGTTTTAGTGGCGGTGGGTCTGAATTTTCAAAAGATGTCAACAGAAGCAGCAGTGCAAAACATCAATGAACAAAGAGCATCAGTTCTCTGGGTTGTGGGTCAGAGCTTACCCTAACTTGTGTATTAAAGAAACATCACACAAATTAAAAAAACAGGGAGAAAAAATATCAGTCTTTTTGTCCACAGCATGTTATATGTCTGTTTGCAAGAGTCAAAGAGACAATATCAGTAACCAACAGACAAGACAAAAAGATTTTCATCAGTGGGACAGCTCTTAATGCTAGTGCTTTCAACCTCAAAATCAAATCCATCTCAAAACACAAAACAACACTGAAAGGGAACGAGGAGGCTCTGAATAAAGCCATTCCTCCAAACTTTTCCTATGACTTCTAAACGACTGGAGCAAAGTCCGCTCCAAAAACACTTTTCATTTGTGAAAAGCAACATGCACAACAAAGCTAAAGTTTTTGCCATTAAAAAACAAACAAGGCCCAGCATGCAGCATGTTCAGTACAAAACAAAAAGGATGAAACAGCGCAGCCCGCATGTCACACCAGCGCTACGTGGCTGCCTTGTGGAACACTGTCTCTACGTGGGCGCGAGAGAGCACAGCTCTTTCCAGAAAAGAGCAGCTCGCTGGGGAGGGCAGGCTGCCGCAGCGCTGAAGCAACATCCACAGATCAGGGAGAGAGGGTTTCTGCTGCCGTTTCAGAACATGCAAGTGGACAAAAACAAACGACCGCTGAGCAAAGATATGACACCTGCATACCTGCGCCCCTGCGGCCCGGGGGGACAGAGAGGAGTTAAAATCAGCGAGGGGGGGGCCACAGAGAACGGGTGCGTGCCAAATACAGGCGTCAAGTCAGAGCAGCGGATTGATTAAAAAGAGTTAAAAGTCTTGTCAAAAAGCCTGCTACCTCCCTTCAGCACGAAGCAGCCGTCAAAATATTATCAGCTCGCTGAAAAGCGCAATCATTATTTTATAAACAGGAAGACATACAGTAATTATTAACACTCTAACACACGGAAAATTAGTCCACTTGTGTGCCGATGGGGAAAAAAACAAACGTTCTGATGCACCGGGCCTGTAGCGCACTGGTCTGGATGGATGGGGCAGGGCGAACGACACAGGATACTCTCCCAGCGCCCCTACAGAGCACCGAGCCCCACAAGCGCCCCATGAACTGCGAGGACAGAAAGAATCTGGACGCATCGAGACATCTACACTGACTAAGAGCACCTTGGCAGCCACAAATCATCGAGATATGGAAGAACCCCTCTCATTAAACGCACTAGCATTTCTTTAAAATCCGACAGACCACTTCGGTGACCAGGGCCGTCTCGGAGGTGTGGAGGCAGAACCCTCTCTCGAGGAACGCTACACCAAGCAGGCAGGGATCTGCGCACTGTCCATCAAATCCACTCAAGGGTGTGTAGCAATTAAATACTGCTGCTTCCAGCTTGTTTGGTCTGTGGAGGTTATGTTGAATATCAATAAGGCCTGCAATACTGGACTGATTAAATATTGTCACCAAACACGCAGAAGTGCAGCTGTCGACACTCACACAGCAGAAAAAAACTCTCCCTCCCCTTCCTCAGGGCTCCCCCCTCCCCGACAAAACCAACTTAACACAAAGAGCCTTCAGGAAGTGTTACACTTCACCAGCAAGAGACGACTGCTCTAAATTCTGAGCATGACTTGCTGTGCAAAACTGGAAAAAAAAAAGGAACAACATGTCTTATCTGAGCAATAAGGCTTAAATAAACTAGAAGAAAATTTCAACTGATCCATAAAGAATTAATCGTCCCTGCTGGAAGTCCTATAGGCCCTCATATATCTTCTATTTCTTAGCCTGCAGCAATGGGCCTGATCTGGAATTCTAAAGTGGGAAGACCTCACCTGCAGCACACAGAGCGAGCCCCCCGGCCCCCAGCCTGCCCCGTCTTCCTCGGGCACCACGCCCCCCTGCGCTGACCGCTGCTGACCGCTGTCCCCCAGCCTGCCCCGTCTTCCTCGGGCACCACGCCCCCCTGCGCTGACCGCTGTCCCGCTCGCCGGCACGAACAGCTGGAACTGGCAATCCAGGGCACAATCGCAGCAGCGGGGAAGAGAAACTAAAGGCACACCCGGCACACGGGGAGGGGGGGCGGCTTCTTCTAGGCGAGTGTCCAGGACGACGGCGGACCACGCCTGAGCTCGCGTCATCTCAGCGCGTGATGTCGCCCTCGGGCCCCTCCCCACCGCCGAGAATCCCCGCGGTGCCAGGCCTGGCGGGCGGGCGGGCGACATCAAAACTTTTTTCCCTTATTCTGTACTCCACAAGGAAATGAAAATCACAGCTTTTTGGGATTTTCCGATGGGAAGGATGCCATGTCGTTAACTCAACAACCCCCCCTCCTTCCCAGACCAGCAGCTCGTCCCGTCGCTTGTCACAGACCCTTCCCAACACGCAATCGGACACAAATCCCAACTCCGCACAAGAGGGAGCTTGAAAAATAAGCGGATCTCTCTTCAGCAGCGTCTCACCCTCCGGAAACGGGATACCCTGCACGGCTCTGACAGGAGCAGGTACTTCCACTGAAATCGGTTAATTCAGAGGAATCGAGTAAAATAACTGGCAGAGTACAAACAAACAAAGCCGAAAAAGACATTCTGTTGTATACCGATGCATTCCCAAAGGCATTATTAACAATTAATAAGCATTACAGTGATGCCTTGTTTATGTGGCCTCTTACCAACACTGCAGCCTTATAATTAGACCCCCCATATTTTTCCTATTTATGTCTTTATCGCATGCAGCTGACGCACTCATCCATTAAAAACTGGTGCTGACAGATGGATAATCAAGCTACAATTTGTATTTACCGGATTACTGAAAATTACCCAAAGTACTGTTAAGTTGGAATAAAAAAAAACACCGTGGCTCTTTCCTGACAGTGATTTACGAGCAATTACACATATCAGACAGTTCCAAGACACCCCCCACACACACCCAGCATGCTCGGTATCTCTCCCACTCTCCGCGCCCCCGCCGCCAGCCAGACGACAGCTCGCCAGCCCCACAGCCACCGCGGCGGAGAGGGCGCCCTGCACTCCCGAAAACTAGGGAAGGGGGCTCAGAGGAGACAGTGCCAGCTGGGGCGCCCCCGCTGCTGCTGGACAGCGCGACTGACCAGAGCCCCAAACCCACGTCAGGGCGAACCGCAGAGGCCGGAGCCACTGGCCTGCGGGGGGGCTGGGGGGGTCTGGAGGGAGAGTTTTAGGAAACTCCACCCACCCACCAATCCTGACGACAACACCTGCCTGACTGATCCCGGGCACGGTGGCAGTTTGTATTGACATCCCAGGATTGCACACTTAAAAACTGTTTGTTGTGCCAAAGCAGCGCCCGATTTGGACCTTCAGCAGGTGCCACCGACTCCAGCTGTCCAGAATCACCCCTGCTAAGCGCCGTCTCCAGGGTCTGACTCCCTGCAGCAGACCTGGGATCGCTCCTGCGGCGGACAGCGAGCACGGGCCCACGCCCCCCTCCCCACCCGGCCAGGCGAAAAGACATAAAAGACCGGCCTTCACAAAGACAGATCCAAACAGGGAGGGTATCTTTCAAATGAGCGGAGACAGGAAGGGGCTTTGATTCCCAGGCTTCCCCACACTCGGCCAGCGGGCGAGCTGCACAGCCCTGCGCGCGCGGGACAAGAAGTCTCGTCTGCCTTCCAGCACCTTGAGAAGACAACACCCTTCCCTCCTGTGAGCGCGTGCGATACACACTCCCCTCCAGCCGGGTCAGGCGGCGGAAGCTCATGCTCCCCAGAACCCACCCCCGGGAGAGCCCAGCCTCTGCGGAGCTGCCAGCGCCTCCCCGTCTCCTGTCCTGATGACCTCGACCCAGTCCTCTCGCATCTACCAAACACCGTGAAGCTCAGCTGATCAACAAAACGAGCGCTGCCGCGCCTCGCCGAGCTCTCGGGCGACGCCGGTCACTTATCCCAGAGTCTGGCCAACGTGCGCTTGAGACTCGCGCTCTCCTGCCACACATGCCGGTGGTTGTGCACTTATTCACAAGCACAGAGGACTTGCGGAGAAGAAGGCCTTCCTCAGACGAGTGCGATGGTGAAGAGGGGCCAGCGTGTGCAGGCGCAGGTAATTCACTGACCCTACCGAGACCGAGACAAGACCGTGAAGCCAGGCCTGCCATTGAACAGCGCTGCTCCTGAAAACAGGCCAGGGGCTCTTCTCAGGTGCAGTGCTCTCCGACGGGCTTGGAAACAGGTGGACAACGGGGAGGCCAGAAAACAAACCAAGCTGACGCGCGTTTCCAACGGAGAAGGGAACTTCAGCTTCTCGCCCTTATCTTTTGCACCAAGGGTAGATCGTGGTCGCCGGCCAATCCAAACAAAAAGATCTAAAGCAGAGAGCAGCCGCTCCCCCAGATGTAACGGCAGTTTCCCAGAGCTCAGCAGAGCACCCTTACTCAGAACCACCCAAACTTGCAACAGGAGAGAGAGACGGGCATTCCTGTTTTCACACGGAATGTCAATACGTTGTACAAACCTCGTTTCTATATAACGAAAAGCTGTGGGAGAAAGACAACATGTTCATTGAGTTAAAGCCTGAAGATGTGCACTCACGCTGTAGTATTTCCTGATGTGGCGCCTGATGTCCAGCACCAGTTTGTTGCTTATTTCAGCGCGAAAGCTGATCGGCGAGGCTTCACACTGGTCACCACAGCAGCGCATCAGGCTGGGCTGAAGATGCTCGCCCTGAAAAACAGGAGGAAAATAAAAAAATCAGGAGAGACGTGCTATAAAGACATACAGACACACTGCCTAGCGCCTGGAAAAGTGCAGAAACTATGATAAAAGTCACTTAGTTGCTGTGAAATAACAAACAAACATCCCACTTCCTTCTCCACCTGGAAAAAAAACTTCAGAACACTGCCCCAGTCCAGACTGGAGCGCTAATTGGACACCAGAAAAGCCTCCAACAGTGTCCATTTTCCCCTCCATTTGTACATTTCATTTCCCTTAACAGAAGAAAAAAAAAACTTTTTAAGAAAAGAAAGAGAAATAAGCGAAACTGTCGGTACAGCAATTCTCCATTGTCAAGGTGTTTTATTCAGTGGCCCTAGAGGGCAAGCGACTATCAAATATATAAATAAGAATGCGCTGGCAGCAAATTCCAAATCCCATTTTCAACCTCAATTTGTACTGTGCTTGCCAAAGCTGCAAAGCATTACTATTGCTTCTGAAATGAGTCCTAGCAGGGGGTGCGTATGTGTTAATGCATTAGCCTTTTATACATGAGGCTGGGGCTCAGAGCCGACTTCAGTAACAAGAGATATTAGTTTGGTGGTTTTAGACCTGAATGGACATCAGCCCACAGGAAGGAAAAGACTCGCGGTACTCGGACTTGTACTTGCAAAACAATTTGTTGCATCATTTTCGGCAGTGCCGCATAATTTCACAGATCCTAGAATTGTTTCAGGAATTATATGTAGGCTTAGAATGACATTATAGGATTGCGATTTCTCAACAACAGAAGTGGAAGGGAACTCTAAACCCTGCTGCCGATGCTGTTTGGCTTTTTCACTGGGGTCGCGACCCCAGGCAGTCCCATGGGCTCCAGAACACGAATCGAGCCACTTTACTCCCGGTTACTGTACCCACGAACAGGCAGGAAACGGAGCAGCTCCACAGCGCGTCTCCGACGGCGTCACAAGCACAATCGTACGAAGGAGGAGAGAGCCCCAGAGCTCCGGGCAAGTCTCTCCAGGCAGGGCGAAGCCCCAAGGCGCCAGGGCGAGGACGTGCCTGCGCGGTTACTGCCCCAGCCCCCTGGCTGCTGGCGAGGGAAAGGCATTGCCCTGTCCAGCAAACACCTCAAGAGTCTGGATCGGAAAGCCTTCTCCAGCACTAAAACTGTTCTTAAAAGTTATAAAACTGAACCCAGCGCCTTTCCTCCCGCCACCCCGTCTTTAACTCGCGCACCAGGTGGAACAGTTCGACATCTCGCGCCGACAGCCAACCCATCTGCAAACTAAAAAGACACTCGGGCAATTAACTCTGCGTTATTTACAGCTCGAGTGAAGCAAGAGTCAAGGACTCAGCCAGGCTGTGCAGATCCGAGCCCTCCCCTCCGCCGATCCTCCAGGCTGGGCTCGGCTTCGACCGCAGGCATTCCAGACATCTGCCATTTGCCCAAATTAACTGGGAATAATTACTTTTAATTCTGACAAGGGCCGGTCCACTCTACATGTCAAGGCTTTGGGGGAGAGGCCGAGCGTTTGTTTTCATTTTTATCGCAAGTTGTGTGCGCGCAGACTCCTGCTCGGGCTCATTTTTCCCCGTGCAGATCAAGGCCAGGGAGGAGGGGGCTTGGCAGACACAGCCCCGCTGTGCGGAAGGACGGCATACCAGACGCCTGTTCCTCGCGGCGATCCTCAAGAACAGGGAGGACAGCTGCGGCACAAAGATGAGTTGCAGGATATATTTCATAGATTAATTTTCATTACTTCCAAAATCTCCCCCCCAAAAAACAAAAAGTATGTGCAAACTTTAATGGGCGCGATAAGCTCTTTCTCATCTCGGGACCTCAAGCCTTTGGACCGCCTTAACGGTTTATTAGCAAGGACGAAGGTGGAAAAAAAAACGAATCCATCAACCGCAGAGTTTGTGTTCCCCTGCAACAGCCCGAACTATTTCAAGGCAGGGCTTTGAAGCGAGCGGATCAGAAGCACGAGGCTCTCCTGCGAGGAGGGGAGCAGACGCGTCTGCCCTCTCGGGGTCGGTCTCTCCTCTCTCTCCGTCAGCCCACGCGAGACGAGCCCCCGGACCGGACCCGGCCGTGCCTGCCTGCGATGGAAAAGCCAACCCAAAGGTGCTTTTCAGCAACAAGAACACTGCCCCATAACAAGAAGAGGCGAGAACACCTGCACAGAGCACTGATTCCCGTGAACTTTCTCCAAACTCCTCGGCCAAATTTCTGACAGGTATCAGTTGCAACAGAGACAAACTCAATAAATCTGTCGATTGTCAGATGAGATCAAACTCTCCTCTGATGAGACACTCTCCTGACAGACCCCTTGCCCACAGCGGTCATCTTCCAGTTCCAAAGTATTTATCTTTCAGCTGGTATGTCAGTTTAATACAGATAAAGGATGTGATTTGGCCACAGAACTGATTTCAACGTACGCTGCTCTGTTGCCGAGGTCTACTAGAAGAAGGCGCGAAACAAAATCTGCAAGTTATTGTATACTTCCTGCAGGCCTGCTGATCCAGAGAGGAAAGCCGACACGTCAAGCTTGTCATCTCCAAGAGCTGTTACCCTTCCAGGAGAGCTCCACTGAGTCTCCATGTGCAGTTCTGACCCGCTGGCAAGTCTGGAAGTGGTCACACTCACATGGCCCCCGAGCCAAAGGGGAGAGTTCAGTCTCTCGTCAGCTTGCTGTAACGGGTGGCGAGCAGCGCGGGACTGTTTCCTCAGCCCAACGGGCCAAAGGGGCGCAGAAAAGCGCTTCGTGTTTAACCCCCCCCGGCCCCCTCAACCCCCGCCCACGGCCCGCAGCCCGGCGGCCTCACCGCGCCCTCGAACACGGCGTCGTAGACGTTCTCCGTGCGGCAGCGGGGGCAAGCGAACTTGAACCTCTCGCAGTCGCGGTACTTCTCCTCGTCCGTCAGCTGCGCCGGCGCCCCCAGCAGGGCCTCGTTCTCGTCGTCGCGCTGGTACTGCTGATGGGCGCGGAACTGGGCGGGGTCCAGGCCTGCAGAGACAGACACGCCGACGTCACGGCTGGCGGGACGCGCAGCGAACAGCGCTCCACACGCTGCCCGTGTGGACGGCGCCTACCAGCTGACGGCTTTGGGAATATTCCATTTTTCAGCAAGAAGGGAAGGTTCTTCCCCGTGTTAGGCAAACGCACATGACGGGAGGCAATCGATAGTGACAGTGTCACTTCTATAGCAACTGGCATTTCTACCACAGCACCCAGGGCATGAAAGATGTAAAAGTATTTTTAAGCAGACAAGAGTTCCCTTCATTCGAATGTTAAATGATGAAAGGAATGTATTTTAATCAATCCTGAAGCCTTTGTCTTGCTGTTACTAAGACAAAAAACCCTCTTTAATAAAGAACTCTAATGTCACAGCTTGGTAAGGATTGTAGAGGAGAGACTGTCATTGTTAAAATTAATATGTTAAAAAAGCTCTCCAGCCACATTATTATTGTGGTTGCAAAAATACTGAAACCCATACTGGGAAAGCAATATTAATCTTGCACCGTGGAAAAACAAAAATAATTTCGACATCAGCGTTGTCAAAAATTCAAGGGAATTTACATGTGATGTAATGATGGTGTACCTCTGAAGTTTTATTATTAAAAACAATGTTTCGAAAATTCGTATACATTTTTTTTATTAACCGCAAAATATTTACCCTTCGAGATTACTCGTTAAAAAATAATAAGCAAAATTTTTTTTTAGAGAAGGACTAAAATCCCTGCTGTGGGGAGGCATGCTCATGTCAAGAGAGAGCTGCAGCAAAGTGACACGAGAAAAAGAGCTCCACGCAGAACACCTTCTGCTATTTTAACTAATTAGCGAGGACTAATCAAGGCCCTTGCTAATATTAGCAAGCGTGTGGGAGGAGAACATGGCAGGCAGCGCAGAGAGGGGCCTGCTGGCTCTGCCGTCTGGGGGCGCGCTGTGCCCCCTGGCAGGAGAAACGTGCCCGCAAAGCACATGGGGGGGAAGTGCTGATTTGACAGCCTCCTGCAGGGGTCCAGAGCTTCGGCTGCAAGGGGCTGAAGTCAACCGTAAACACAGAAGGGCGACGAGCAGGAAGAGCCCGCTGGGCCCGTCTGGTAGGGTTGGTAGCTCATGGATGCCAGGCCAGCCGGAGTATCGGCTTCAACAACGTGGCTGGGCAGCTTGTTCCAGACTCCCACCACCCTTTGAGTAAAGTGCTCTTTTTTTTCCCTGCATTTAATGCACTTCCTCACAGTCTCCACTTGCGCCCTGCTTCACTGTTAACAGGGATTAAACCTGGCATGACACAACCAAATTGTTTCAAAGTCCGAGAGCTTCACGGTCAAACCCTGTCACGGGCGAGGCTGTGAGAGCTGTCCAGTGGTCACGAAGACAATCGGAAAAATCCTTGCCATACAATTAAAAACAAACAAACAAACACTGGATCTCTGAAGCCACCCAGCCTAATAAACTAAAAACTGCACTTAAATAAATCTTCTAGAACTTCACAGATGGAAAAAAATATTTTTTCCGGCTGAAAATGAGCTCAGAGGTGGCTTATTGGTTAAATATTGAAGTATCTGTGCAGGAGGGAACAAACTGACCAAGAAAACTCAGGTGAAACACAGCCACAAGCAGCAGGTCCGACACGGCAGGGGCTTCCTGGCCCTCGGCTCGCAACAACAACAACAACAACAACAACGCCTGGGGCCTGGCAGCCTCGGGCTCCGATTCTTCCCCGCTTCGGCAAGTGAATCGAATAGCCTCCCCTAGACACCCCGCAGAGGCCTGACAAAGGTAAGGGACCCTTCCCACCCCCGAAAAACCAAGCCCTGAAATAATTTTGGGGCTTCACTCAGGTCTGTAGAGCCCACTCAAGAGCAGAGCGCCAGGCTGGAGGGAGAGATCACCCCTGCAGGCCCTGAGCAGGAGACCTTCCCTGAGGGAGGATAGTGCCTTCAAGAGCTGCCATCTGCTGGCAGGCATGCTCCTCAGCCACGGAGCAGGAGGCTCCAGGCTGCGTTTAACATGGGAGACTCCCCCATCACCAGCAAGGCCAGTTCTCAGCCGCAGGGCCAGAAATCAGGAAAGCCAGGCCCCGCTGCAGGGGGCTCATGCATGCTCTCAAGCCGATAATTTGGAGAATTAATTTTTCCGACACAACAGTTCCTGCTGGAAGCTTTTAACACCCAAAGGGGCGAAACGTAGTTAACACGGTCTGAAACGGCGGAGACGCTAGAAGTCTCGTGTCAAATAACTCGCTGTCGGACAGCATTGACATCACAATCGACCTCCAATTCCACAGACTATACAAATAATCTCTGTACACCCCGCTCAGCTCTTTACTTCAGGCCGGCAGCTGGGCGTCAGTGTCAGTGTCAGCTGGGAATGTTTTACTCTTTTAACTGCGCTTGTTTCCTGTGATCTAATTAGTGGCCGTTTTGACTTCTTGACACCATCAGTGCTGACCTGACCCCTTGTTTGGAAGAAGATGACACCCCTGCAGAGGGCCAGAGTGCCTCGAGTTCAGGCTGAGGGGAACGGTCTGGCAGCTGCAGTGGTTCTGGGGTGCACACTCCCAACGCAACGTGTGTGTCATTTAGAAACAAAAAAGGTGTTCGGGACTGAAAGAATCAACTAGCTTCGCAAGCTCTCTGGACAACAACCTGCACTTGTGCAGTGTCATGTACTTGACAGGCTCTGGACGAGCAGGAGGGAGCTGGAAAAGGCCAGTGGGACTCCCGCCTCCGGGCCGCACTGGGGCAAGTGAGGAGCCCTGCCAGGGCACACTGACCTAGCCAGGTGGCGATGAGCGCCGAGTCGATCCCCTCGATGGGCTCGCAGATCCTGGCCACCACCGGGTGGACCTGCTGGGAGAGGTAGTACTGCGTGTCCAGGCTCAGGGCGTCCTGCTTCTGCAGCTGCTCCAGGGCGTAGGCCCGCTGGCTGGCGCCCAGGTTCGAGCCGTCCTGCGGAAACAACACCCATGAGCTCGGGGCCCCTCACCGAGACTTCCGGGTGGCCGATACTCACTGCTGCTGCTCAGGGCACTTTCTGTGGTTTAACTCTACCGAGATGTGCAGGACTTGGGCAAACTACTCCCTGCCTCAAGGGGTCTAAACCATGTGTCCAAGTCTGGAGCCGCAGGCGGCACTGCTGACTCGTTCCTTTCCCTGCCCACAGGCCCACAGGCCCACAGGCCCACAGGCCCCCTGCTGCCTTCAGGGAGTGTTGAGTCTTCTCCATCGGTGGTGATGTACACAGCGCGAGCCCGCACTTTGGCTGCTGGGCATTTGCCTGCATCTTCCCGGATGTGTGGAAACCCAGCTACTGAATGCAAGGATCCAACACATCCTCTGACATCACCAGAAACCAGATCTGTAAAATCCTGCAGTTTGCTACACAGCAGACATTGATTGTCATTCTTCCTTCTCCAATTACCCGTGATTATATACACACCGATACACTCCGCCGTACTCTAAAAGCTTGGGACCTGACGTAAATTAACATCAATTTTACTGCGAAAGTATAAAAGGGAAAGAGCTAATGGCTTTTTTTTTTATATTGAAACTAACACTAACGTAGGTGTGAAATTACAATAAATCCCGTCTCAATTTAATATACATATATTTAAAAGAGAGAACTTGAAATTCATTAGCCATCTTTTGACATTTTCATTGAAGTAATGAAGTCTCCCTGTTTTAGTTGTTAGTCAGTGGGGTTTCTTAGCCTATTATCAGCCAGAGGGTCAAGATGGGTCGAAATGCACCACCCACACCTGCATGAAATAGCTGTGCTTTTGTCAGAAACCCTCAGGAGACGACGAAGAGGAGCAGATACGCGGGTGTCACGGGCAGCTCTTCCTCCGCCAGGCCGAGGCCCTGCTGTGACTCCAGGGGACTCAGGCCTGAGAGGTGAGCCTCCCACACAGTCCCGCTCACCTGGCAGATGATGTAGGAGACAGTGTCCCCAGCCTTCACCTTCCTCCCTCCCTGAGAGTTGATCCACAGGGCCACGTGCACGTGAGGCAGGCTCTTCTTGTCAGGGTAGTCCTGCGGGTCCTTGGTCAGGGCCTGCAAGGAGACGGGTACAATACAATAACCGCCATTACCCCTGAGCACAGCACCACCTACAGGGCCGGCCTGCAAACTGCACCCACACATTCTGTGCACAAGGATTCAGGCCAGACAAGGGAGGCAGGGGGTGGAACCCCGGTGTATGCAAAAGTATTGTTTAGGGCTTGTTATAAAGCTTATGTCACAGGATATACCTTAATTAAGAAGTGCAAGACAGAAAACAGGTCCTGTACATAGTGTACAACACTGTATTAGTTAACTACAGTAAACCTATAATACCGTCACTTAGTGAAATGCCATTGCTGATTATATCACCTCTGTGCTTGGGTCTGTACACTGGCTGCCAGTGAGCTTTCTAATAGTTTTAGAGGAGCAACAACCACATAGGATGTCCTCTGTATATCAGAGCTTTTCCTATATACAGCCCTGTGACCCCAAAACAAAGATGATGAAACGCTAAATAATTTTAAACCAAGCTGAAAACCTCTTCTTTGCCTTTTTTTGTACTTAACGGCAACAGATATCGTATTTGCACAGGAATGTTTTTTGTTTTTGTGCAACTCTCTGGGGTGTCCTGGAATTGAGTGACCTCTGTGAGAGCACGTTTCTCTCTGACTCCAGCACACAAAAGGAGGAAAGCTCAGAAGGACCCTAGGGGTACCTCCACCCAGTTCTGAACCGGGGCCGAGCCTTGACTCGCTCCTGAGGTCTGGTCAGATCACGGTACAAGATGCTCACGCTGTCAGAATGGGCTTGCACTCACTCATTTCTCATCAGCGGCGGTGGAGAGAAACGTCTCGACTTCTTACTCTCAGCAGAAGGGAAACGTCTACGCAGCATACAACACACACGGCTAACGAGCGAATTGGTTTTGCTCAGTTGTCAGCCTTTGAAGAAGTGGTTCCATGTGAAGAAAACCCAGGAAATACGGAGTGCCGTTTCTATATGCAAGTGGACCAACACTCTCACAGCCTTTACCTTGTGGATTTCAAACTGGCTGAGGGGGACGGTGCCATTCACCACACTCTCCCCAATTTCCATCAGGCGCCTCTGGATGTTCTCCACAATGGTGTCCCGGGGCTGGTCGGACAGGATTTGACCAATGACGTAGCTGAAGGGGAGAACGCAGGCTTATTGAGCAAAAAAAAACACGGCAGCCAACTGTGACTCACAGCACCTTCCCCGACCAAACATCTCCCGGCACTTCATGTTAATGGGAAGTATCCATTGGATTTCTCGGACCGGTTATTTAGTCTCCGTAACCAAATAAATTCACTGACGGCAAAGAAACCTTTTATGCATTTCAAACGGAGCACAAGATCGTGAACTTTGTGAAAGTACTGTAAGCCGGCGTGTTGTGGCAAACCCCTGGTCTCACCACAGGCGAGAGAGCGAGAGTTTGGGCGAATTGCGACAGGAAGCGGCCCTTCCTGCTCACCAGTCTCCACAGTGGCTAATGTCATGTGACGGACGAGCGAACAAGTACAGGTTGTGCAGCAGACATTTAATCGCAGAAATGTTCCAATGTGATCTGACAAGGCAGAGTTAACAAGTAAGTTCTATTTATCGGCAAAACCGTCTCCAAGTTGGAAGCAATACCTCTATTGGATTACAAGAGCTGTATTCACAAGCCTGCGTGTTTACAGTGTCATAAGGCTACTTCATGTCACTGGATGTTTAGTTGCCTTGTTCTGAATATTAGAATATGGCGCTGCGCAGACCTGGAAATTTAGTCTATTTTATGATGTGAATTGGAGGTGTTACACTAATGTCTACATTTTACTCTTATTGCAGTTTGAAATGCACTCAATGCTGATTCTTTCTAACCCCGAAACAGAAACATCGCATTGCAGTTCCCCTTTAAAACAAAGGAATCTAACCACACACGTACTGCAGCTTTTAAAAAACTGGAACACAACTGAAACCATTACCTGCACTTATTAGAAGAAAAAGCTAAAGGAAAGTAACGTGTTCGTAAAAGAAATATAAAACTTTCTAACATTTTCTCACTCGGCTAAGCTTGGACAGGAAGTGCAGAGTCCGGGTGCACAGCCTGGAAGAGCCTGATCTACTGAATGCAGCCGATGTGGGCGACTGAAGTGCCAAGAGCACATGCCATCTTAAAATACAAGCAAGAAAATAAATCCAGGATAATGGGACTGTTCTATTATCTTCGATCTGCTCTGCTCCGTGTAAACTGGGAACGAGATGTAGACAGCTTTCTACTCATTTGGGAACTTGGAGAGAGCACAATCGCAAAGCCCCGTCGTAAAGATCTTAATGCCCCAATAAAGTCTCTGTGGCCCTCTGCTTAAACCCAGCAGCTGACAGAGAGCAATGGAAAAGAGCAATGAATGAGCAGTAAATAACCCGGTAATCAGAGAGCCCTGGTATTCACAGGCAAGGCGCCCAAGCCCTGCCAGAGGACACTCACTTCCCACAGTCCTTGGCGAGGTCACTCCAGTCCCTCCTGACAATGTCCAGGCCCTTCAGCTCCTGCTTGGTGGTGTAGTGCCCGTCCCCTGTGGACTCCACCAACAGCGCCGCGTACTTCTTCTTCTTCAGGAGCAGCAGGGACTTGAAGATGCCATCGATGTCGATCTCCAGCAGCTTGTACAGCTTGTTCACTTCGCTCTTCACCTGGAAGAAGGAAGAAGAGCAAACACTGAAGCCCTCTAGCCTCGGGAGCAATTATCTCCATCAGACTGCATTTCTTCCTCTTCCTCCCCAACCTGTTTGGAGCTGCTGAACGGCGCGGGCCTCAGTTCTCCAGCAACAGCCCCTGCGCCACATGGCAAAATCACAGAGGTACTTTTCCCACGCAGCTGCCCACCAGCGGCTGTTGACTGGTCGCCCTGCGAGCTCCACAGAGCCGGGACGTACCAACAGCTGCAGGAAAGAGACGGAGGTCTCCACCCGATGTGACCGCAAGCGCTCGCGTGCCCGCACATGTCCCAGAAGTCCCTGCTGTGCCTTGGCCAACTTGGCTCCGAGGGATCCTGGCCTGACTCAGCCAACTAAGGGGCCCAGGTTCGAACCCGCAGCGCCTGGACTGCAGGGACTGCCACACAAACATGAGAAAGGCTACAGACGAAAGGGTCTACAGACAGATCTCGTGCGATTCAGAACACGCGACGAGACACCGCTGAAATCCGATTGGCTGAGGGGGTGATTAGCAAGGGCTGTGCCTGCCACTGCGATGTGTGCAGAAGACGCTAACTGCAGCCCAGATTGTTCGGAGAAGAGGATGTGCAGGGCAGGCTATAAGGCTGAAATGGAACAGTACCTTGTTTCCCAGTTTAAAGACCTCTTCCAGGTTGGTGCTGTTGGTGTTGATCATGATGGAGTCTGTGTCACCATAAATCACATCCAGGTTCATCTATAACACAGGGGCACACAGACGGTCACAACGCCATCGCCCCATCATTTAATGTTCTCAAAACATTCAGATCACTTGGTCTCCTTAAACTCCAAAACCCTGTGTTAAGCAGATGAGCTGAAACACCGAAAACTGGGAGCTGTTCCATGATCTTGGAAAGTAAACAGTGCTGTGCAAAAAAAGTTACACAGCAGTGACAGTCACTTCAGTAAGGATATTTTGTCTGTTTGGAAGTTGATGGCCTTGGCCTTTTGTTTCCAGTTTGGAAACTGGAAACTGGAGGATGAAGATACATTGTGTTCCCAGTGGCCCCATTACCTTCTGCACCATGTCCTTGGTGTGCATCAGGATCTGAAAGAGAACGAAGAGGATGACGTTACATTCCAACTTGCACAAAGAGTCGGGTTGCTTAAACAATGTGCTCTGCCTATTGTGAGCTCAAGGAGAAGTTAAATAACCCCTTCACTTTCTGGAATCGTATCAAGAAGTGCAAATGCCATTCTACAAAAAAAAAAACCAACTAATTCATACTTATAAAGCGTCGCTCTTGCAAGATTTTCCCCCCTGTCCTGGAGCACCTCTGTGTTTGCATTCCACACAAGCTCTCCATTATGCTAACAAAGGGCCTAATTGGACCAGAGCAAACTGCTCTTCTGGTTTACACACAACTAGAAATTACCTTTCCCCACGGCTGAGAAGGCACACGGAGAAACAAAAAAACCCAACAAAGTTGTCACAAATAAACGGCACAGATCAAGCAAGGCGCAAGGGAGCCAACATGCCAGCAGAATGGATTTTCCCTGCTGATGTTTGCCAATTCACTTGGGAAAAACTCGCTTCTGTGCTAAAATGTGCAAGTCCCCCAGAGGCCAGGAGGAACCTGAGACAATCACAGCGGGGCTGCTGACGAGCCCCACTTCATGGCCAGTTGGCAACGACAGGCATCAGCTTGAAGTGCCAAAAGCTACAGACCACAGGGTCCGCACTCCCTCTGTATCCCCTACAGCACAGAACAGCTCCAGCGCCTTGAATCGCCAAGCCTGAGAAACCCGAACATGCCACTGAAGTATCATGAAAACTCCCCTCCCCCCAAAACAAACATGGCTGTAATTCTGATTTCCTTAAACATATACATTTAATGCAGTACAGCTGTGGAGGGGAACTGCTGGAGAACTTAGCCTTTAATGTCAGACGCTGTGGAACAAAAAAAAAATTAATTAGCAAATCTATTCAGTAATTCAACACTTCGCAACAGAAAATGCCTCTGTGATTTCCTTTTAAATGCAGGATAATTGGCTAAGAGGGTTATTACTGACATTCAAATGGAACTCAGAATCCCCACACAAGCAGAGTCATAATAACAGCTAATGATCTTAATCAGGAGTGGTTTTGCGGCTGACAATCCACTCGTCCCCAATTCACTCGTACATCAAGGATTTTCCCTCTTTTTCTTCCCATTATTTTTGCAGCGCTGGCGACGCAGCTGCTGAAACACAAAGATTAGCCACAGGTGCCAGTGACAATCCACATTAATGAATTATTAGTTATTAATGCAATCGGCAGGACAGCTTTTGAAGATGTATGATTTGATGTCCTAAAAGGGTCCCCGATAGTCGAAGGTGCCAGACCAGGGTGCCACTTACAAATGTTTTCACTGGGCCATTTATTTTCAGCCACACTGCACAAAATAATTAAATCGCATTTTCTTATTACAGTAGTGGGGTCCTTAATGATGTTTCTCCCAAAAAGCACGCAACCACATAAAATTCCCCGATTAAAAAACAAACACACAAATGTTATTCAGCATCACGGTCTGTAAATTTCAGGATGAAATCAAATTATACTTAAGTCTGACGCAGCCTCTCTCCAGAAGGCAGTGCTTAATCATTGAAAGCTCTTTCAAGCCATTTACGAAGCGACGATGATTAGGGCTCATTTTAGTACGGAATTTTTAATTGCTGCAATGTTAGCAATTAACATTGAGATGTTTAATGGGCACCATCCTTCTTCCAAGTCTATTACAAATTAATAACACAAGATCAACCTCTTCCCAGAGGTGGACAGTGGAAACTGAGCAACCGTGCATAAGAAGGATAAAATCCACAGCTTTTTTGCAGTGTAGTGTCGAGGGTCCTGGATTTTAGACTAGAGGGTTGAGGGTTCAAATCCCAGGTGAGACTCGGCTGTGACACTCTTGAGCCAGATACTTCCCCTGCTGTACAGATGGTCCCCCGGCTCGCCACTGTAAATGACAATTTGCTCTCAGTTTCCTATTCTTTTTACCTGGTACAATGGAGGAATAAACAAAACAATTCCGTTTCAAAAGCAGAAAAAGGAAGCAATTTCTCGGCTTTGCCCCGCAGAACCGCGAAGAAAGGAATTCTTGGCCTCTGCCCCTCTGAAAACCGACACGCCGACACAGAGCTCCCCCCTGCTTTCGAAACGAAAATGTCAAGCGGAGTGCACGGCTAAATTTAGCGCGCTGGAAGGCACTAAGAGGCAGTGGATCAAGCTGGAATTAAAACGGGTGCAGAGGGAGCCCCTCGGCTGACCTCTCTAATTAGAGCCGGATCCTAAAATGAGTCGACACGGAAAACCAGCAGCAGCAGCAGTGACACCTCAGCTTCCCCAGCTCGCAGCTTTTAATTAGCAAGACCTCTCCACCAGGGAGGAGCGCGAGGCTGCGGACAGCAGGACGGCATCGCCCCTCTCCATCGGCTCACGGGGGCCGGCTTGCCCCCCACGAGAACAAAACAGCCCCAGGGGTCTCACTCGGCGGCCACCCCTGTCCAGGAATCACAGAACACCCCCCCCAACTCCCAAACGTCACACCGCTGTCCTGACCCAAGCAGGCTCAGCGGGCCCCGAGACATCTTTTAAAAGGACAGAGGTCGACAAAAAAGAAATTCCGTTTCAATAACTAACCCAGGCCCCAAGCCTCCGACGCTGAAGTAATTCACAGCCAAATAAGCTGAAACGCGATTAACTAGCGCGTGGATCGCTGCAAATGGGCGCACAAGTGCAGCGCAAACCAAGGACAATCCAAGCCCAGAGATCAAGCTTGGCCATGTCCGTCACCTGCCCCGGCCCGAGCGGGACACAGAGCATGGAGAGAGCGGGAAGGCCTTCGGCGAACGGCTCCCCCCGCAATTCACACTGCACCCCAGGACAGGCAGGAGACAAAGCCACCCTAACCCACTAGCACAAAGCGCCCCCGCGCCCCCCCCCTCTCCGCGAGGCAGCAGTTGCCAGACCCTGACCCACATGCCAGGGCTAATTTCGTGGCAGGCCTTGGCCCCGCGCGCCGCCCGTCCAAGACAATGCCTGAAACCAGACTCGGCCCCTCTCCGCAAACAGTTGTCCCCCGGTCACTCCAGCCCCGGGGCGGGGGGGGGGGGGGGCTCGGCGATGGCCAGCGCGCCATGGAGGCGGCGGAGACCGTATCTCAGGACACGGCACCAGAGGGTGACCTTTCGCGAGAGAG